CATAGCTGTCTACTCTCACCTGGATACTATAATCGTACTCGAGTTTATCTTGGCCTTGCCAGTTGACGAGCAAACCGCCTTGAGGAGGTCCTTAAAGCAATATGTTCCACAGATTGAGGTCGACCTTGTGGACCATATGCGGTTTAGGAGTCACAGGGCTCCTCTGGTTACCATGGAGGAGACTGATATGTCAGCAATGAGGAAGCCTTACATGCACGTTTTTCCAGCAGTAAAAAATTGTGACAATAAGCCTCCAAATCCAAATCAGATGGATAGATCGGGTGTGCACGAAGGAATGGTGAAGGAGTTACGGTTCAACTGTAGAACTCCACAAAATTCTGGCGACCCGACGATTATTGGACCCAAAATCAGGGACTCCAATACTGGGTGGGATATAAACTGCGACAAAACTAGAAGATGGGTAGACAGTTACTCAATGAACGTGGACGTCTCGGACGGGGCTGACACTGCACATTTGAATCCAGACACTGGAAGTGCTGAGAATAACGTTACTCGCATGCTAACTGAGCGGGTAGATAATGGTGTTTTAGTGATATATCGTAACGTGTTCTAATGTAGGTCTTTCTTTGGGGACCTGACAAGACGCTATCAGAGAAGCACGAGGCATTGCTCGCAGCAGCCCGGCTTCACCAATCTAGCGACACAAAAGTTTGGTCACAGGTTTGCACATTAACATAAAGAGCATCATTTTAAAGTAAAGGATTTAATATCTGCAGTATTTTGACAAGCTCATTTCAACTGTATTGGAAGCGGCCAAGGATTCTGATAAGTTTACTAGGGAATTGGCCTTGTCAATTATCCCAGAGATTCTTAAACAGGTGAATATATTGAAGATTGTAGCTTGTGACGCTTACACTTGCATGTGGGCAGATTGTGAAACGACTTCCTAAGGAAATGCTAGTTGAAAGGCTTCCAACCTTTCTGCCAGTGCTTGTAGAGGCATTCAAGCACCAGCAAGAAGACGTGAGACAGGTATTCCATTTTAAGGGCCTTAACATTCCCACGACATCAGTACTATGTGCTGCAGGCTGTTCTGTTCTCTCTGGTTGACATTTATGTAGTAATTGGGAAGGATTTTCTCCCGTACCTCAGCGGTTTAAATGGGACACAATTACAACTAATTACAAATTATGCGAGTCATATGACTCAGGTATTGCAGTTTTTAACCTTATCTTCAGATAGGTGATTATCAACTATAGGGTAAAGCTATGCAATCACAAGCATTCAAGGATTCAGCATCTTCATCTCTGGTATTAAAATGTGTTCAAATCAAGAGGTGCAGTGCTGCTCCTTAGGAAACCGTTAGCTGAACAAGGTGATGGTTACCGCTTGTAATAATCTATGTCACACTGTGTTTGTTCTTATCTTTTTTACTTTAATCCTAGTGTTTGTGGATGTACTATTGCAAAAGTAGAGTGTTTGGGATTCGAGGATGCTTGGACTGATTACGGAATATTCTGCACATTTGGTGCTTTAGAATGTTGAGTTTGGTGGGGCGTCCAACGAGCGAATCGATGATAACTTGAGTGAACAGCCGAATCCTGTTTAATGTTTTATTTTTCTGGATTTCCATACAACGTTATGTGTATCTACACTAATTTTTTTTTGTTTTAAATTCTAGGGTTTGTATGAGAAGCTAGCGTTTTACAGTCGCCACGATGCAGCATTGAAGCAGCGGTTTTGTTTGTTTTCACAAGCTATGAGAACGCAGTAATCCGACAAAACCACGTTTATGAAGTTCACAGTTATGATGACAGTGGACTTCGTAGTAAATTTTACCATGTGTGATCTCGTGACAGGTTTGTGGATATAATGTACTTTCATTAATGCGATTTCTTGCTTACAGAGTCAATTAAATTTTTCCCTCTTTTTCTTAATCACTCATTGACTTTTTAAGAGACAGAATGGTGCCGGTTTGCAAAGGTG